CCTTTCTTGTGGAAATTAACCATCACTTATTTGTCATGAAATATATTTAATATCGGAAGAAAGAGGATAACATATTTCTTTTGAAATATTTATTACTTTTATGATGTTTAAGTCTATTAGATTCCAGGTGAGTGATTTTTCAGAATTTGAATAATGCCCCCACGCGTTAAAGAAGATACTTTTGTTAGGGGTCATATCACTATAGCGTAAATTTTAGACGAACATACGACAGATTTCATTGTGAATTTGCGGATTTTTTTAAAAGAAAATTACAAAAAAGTTAAACAAATTGAGAAAATTTTATTTCAACTTTCCTGAAACTGTATTTACTGTCGTTTAACTAAAAACAATAAAAACCAATTTTTGGTCTCGTTGCTTTTACACGATGTAAGCAAGTTTCAAAAGTGCAGTGTTTACTGTAATGTTCAAAATGTTACGTTATACATTAGTGATTTTCATAAACAGAAAAAAAGCTTCTACTGAAAAATCGTTTTGTTTCTAAAAAAAACCTAGGGTATGCAGTACATTATATTATAACACAAAAAATAAAATTACCACATGTCGCTATTGATCAACGAGTTTTAAACGTACTGCAGATTCACCTTAAGAGATTGAACAGACTGTATCAACGTATACTGGGAAAGAGTAAGATGTGGTTGGACATTTCTTCATAAGATGTTATTCGTTACATAATCATTTTAATAACATAAATGTAAAAAAATCACAGAGATATAAAACTGTTAACTTTTAATTTCTTTACTGTTTGGTCGAAAATAAAATACAGATAAAAAACTAAATTAAAATGATTATCTATAAATAGAATACAACTTAACTTCAATTTTTCATTTTTCAAGATGTTAGTTTTATTTTTTAAAATCTTCTCGCTTGTTTAAATTTATTATTAGGTTGTGCACCATAAAAAATTACTTTCACCATAAGCATCAAGCAAGACTGGAATCAAAATTTTGAATGGCATTTCAGGATTTTCAGCCACGAACACTTCAATTTAAATACCGATTTCAATGCAGGCGATTTGAATTTTTGAAATAACCTTCGTACGGTTGGAACACAAAAGTTGGAAAGCCAAAAGTATAAAACGTTAAGAACAAACAAACTAATTGTTTAAGTCTATTAGATTCCCTTCGGCTGTTGTCTGCTCTATGGTCGGGTTGTTGTCTCTTTGACACATTCCCCATTTCCATTCTCAATTTTAATTGCATCTAAGCATGACAACTACGTCTGTCTAAGTTCAACTCTGCTTGAGGGAGTGTAGGTGTAACCTGGAATTTTAAACAAAATTAATACTCCAATCTGTATATACCGAAGCATTGGCTACTGTTTACTTCGTGGACTATTAGTCTTCCAGCTGGTACCGTCTATGGCGTTTCTCGATTCAAAATTCAAGAATATAGTTACAAAAAAAATCTTGACATAAATTTGAGTACGACCGCACAAAAAAATAATAAGTTTTAAAGAGATCAGGCCGTTCAGTCATAAAATATTACAGTACTCGGAGTACTAAATTTGTTGCACGAAACACCAATTCCAGTATTTGGTTGGCTGATTTCTGTGTCTGAGTGCGATAATCGTTTTCGGAAGTTTTGTAACTGCAAGTCATGGAGTCGATGTCTAAGATACAGCAAGTCAAATTACCAATAAAACAATACTATTTAAAGATTTAAAGGTCACCATACGGCCTTTAATAATGAACAGACAATTAACAGATAATCCTGTCTAAAACAACTTCTCGCCAAGGCCAATGAATAAAACATGCTCAGAATCTGATAAACATTGTCATAACTCCTTTAATATTTTGAAAGAAACATTGTCTTTTTCTGGTTGTACATGCATTTCAAAAAATAAATAAACTTTATTGACGAAAATTGACGAACTTGGGGAGGACGTTTATAACATAAAAGTTTGTCAATATATAGAAATCACTTTTTTGTAAAATTCGTCGTCAGTAGGATTTTGTCGCTATTAACATAGTGTTCATACACAAGTGGTCACTAAATCAATCTTTAATCACCTAAAATCAATATTTGCTATCGGAACCATAACTAGTCTTTTGCATATTATTTAATTTCAATAAGATGTTTGGATTTGTTTACCTTTACTGTTTCCTTGTCAGTTTGTGTTTAAAGAATTGTAAATTATTTAGACTTTCTAAGGTGGAAAAAATCCAACTTCTTTCAAACAGGAGTTAAAAATCGATATCAAGTACAAAGTATACGAACGGGTCAGATAAAAGGAAATACAAAGAAGATTGACATGAAGATGTCCTTTGTCTTTTTATGTTGTTATATAACTGTCTCTTAGGTATATTGAGAATTGAAAAGTAAAAAGCTTTGGTTGTAACAAACTCCCGTTAAAAAAAAACAGAAGGTGACAAATGGTACCCATGCCACTGAAGGTAAGCATAAGCAAGTCTTGTATTATTGTTCAGTGGCCAAAATCGATCATATGTCAAATTCGACAAGAGCAAAAAGCGGTAGAACAACCTCAAGCAATCCGCTAAATATACCTCCAGTTATCTGTGACACATTAACCTCACTGCAATCGACAAATTTGTTATAACGACCTCTTAACAGTTGTAGTAACAATAGCAAGCAATGATGGGTATTTCTTGATTGAGGGATTAGTGTAGTCTCAGTGAAGAGTATGCAAGTTCGGTACCGAAAAAAGTAACAATATGTCGGTAATTTTATAAGTATGTTTATATTAAAATCAAAGCTTTGTTTTCAAACGGCCGTTGGTAAACTAAACAAAATTAAATATGCACTTCATTTTATCAGATATACTAGTATAACTTCATTTTTTTGTTACATATTCCTAGCGCATTGGTAATTTTAGATTCAAAATCTTTGAGCTTCCCCGATGATATCAATGCTGAGAGCAGATACGCTCGTCGTACTCCATGTGTCTAATCATATTAAATAACTTTTACATTAGTTTAATATAAAAATAAGGAGATGTGGTATGATTGCCAATGAGACAATTCTCCATCAGAGACCAAATGACAAAGAAGTTTACGACTATAGGTCACCGTACGGCCTTCAACAATGAGTAAAACCCATACCGCATAGTCAGCTATAAAAGGCTCGAAATGACAAATGTAAAACAATTCAAACGAGAAAATTAACGGCCTGATTTATGTACAAAACAATGAACGAAAAACAAATATGTTACACAGCAACAAACGACAACCACTGAATTACAGGCTCCTAACCTGGGACAGGCACATACAGAATGTGGCGGGGTTTAACTAGTTTGTTGGCGCCAAACCCTCCCCATAACCTGGGACAGTAGTATAACAGTACAACACAAGTACAAACTATAAAAAATCTGTCGAAAAGGGCTCAACTCATCAGATCGGTACAAAGCAGAAAAACATCGAACAAAAACGCCGCCCGGACGTGGCAGGGTATTTATACATCCTCACAACAAAAAAGACGCTAAGTACAGATCTGAGAGCAGAGGCGAATTTATAGGGTTTTCCAGGGGCCCGAACCCCCCTTTTGTGGTTATTTAGGGAATCACTGAAGCATGACTGGAGCGGGCCCCCTCTTAGGCAGTCAATGGGCTCCCCTCCCCTTATGAAAATTTCTGGATCCGCCACTGGAGAGTACTTGTTACTGACAGCTAGTTCGAAGCCAATAACAACTAATAATAAAATCATGTATCTAAGACTAAAATATCAATTAGTACACATCCAACATTCATTTGATTTAGTGTAAAGACGTCATTAACAGTCAGAGAAAAACATGATCTTGTGCAATGCCAAGATACAGGTATCGACATATTGTAGAGCCATGCATGTGCATATGTATATAAAAATAATATTTGGTTTGATCTGAATTTACTGATTATAAAATAAATATCTTTACCAATGTTTACTTATCACCGCCTCAAACAGTCTGAAATGTTCCATATATACACACAGACTGTGTTTAGTATAAAATAAAGTTACCAAACCAACTAGTGATTCGTTCATTGTTGAATACCCTACATCAACTGTCAAGATGAAGAACAGGAATAAAAGCCCTGTTCATTGATAATTTTCTATATTTTCTATGTATTGTGTGCGATTTTGTCCCATGTACATTTACGCCATATCCTGACCACATACAGGTTAAAACAGTCCATAGCGTGTGTATAGAACTTTGTAAAAATATTGTGTGTTCATGTACGTTCAACATTAATATATTATAATACCCATTTTAGTTTCATATCTACCGCAATGTGACATTCAGAAAATGCTCTATAACAATCTACAGAGATAAAAAAAAAATATATGATACACATTTAAATTGTTACTTCAACAAAACACTAAAATTTTATACATATATATATTTATGTACCCTTTTAGACTTGTTATATATTATATTTTGTAGTGTACTGTATCATAATTTTATGATCCATCGCCCCGTTTTAAAGATTTATCGTTGGCTATTATTCAGTCATTTAATATTTATAAAAAGTACATGTACGTCTAAACAAGTGACAACTCTAGGACAAATCCATCCATTGGATCACCAGTGAAGGTGATACACGGATATAGGTATATTCATAATTACTCTAAATATCAGCACAACAATGTTTAATCTGCAAATTTGCGGAAGCAAATTTTTGTTCTCTTCGCCGGGATTCGAACTCATGCTATTGGGATATCGAGACAACACCGCCTGCACTGTGTCCAGCGCTCTAGACCACTCGGCCACCTAGACTGAACTAAAAAATTCAGATTTCGGTGGCCTAGTTTTACCTTTCCTCGTCAGTAGAATCTATATACATATAGTGGTGCTAAATTTCGATGGACTTGTGGTTGTATAAGTTGTTATGAGGAACATTTGATAACTATAAAAAAGGGAAATGCGATCGTGAAAACGAGGAGCATACATCAAAATTCTATTTTTAAGGCAAATGTTCCAATATTTCAGATTTCTATAAAAAGCAAGATTAATCCACGGTACATCTTTTTCTACTAAAAATTAAATGAAAACCTTACACATATATTTTAATAATCATTCCATAAGTGTGAAATACATTAAACAACAGCATCATTTGGAAAGTAACGGGTTATTTAATATGTACACAAATACGGGCCAGCATCTTTTTATTTAGAAAGCTCGCACAGAAAGTTGATGATTTCTTCTGGTTAACTATGATCTGTGTTACTAACCGGGTTAAAAAGTTCAGATCTTTGGCCTAGACTTCTGAATAAAATGTAAATTTGCCGTATGGCAACATATTCAAACAGATATATCCACAAAAATTAACAAGCTGATCTTATTTCATTGACTTAAAAACCAGAAATTTAACTTGGGGATGTCTGTTTCAATGTCTTTTCAAACTGCTGATGTTGACTTCGGATAGCTAGTCTGTTGACATGCACGGGAATTGGGACAACAATTTTCGGTTTATTAGACATGTCACTTCCTGTTCGACCATGAACCATTCCAGCTTTTACTCTCTTCCATTTGGCGCGTCTATTTTGAAACCATATTTTCACTTGAACCTCACTAAGTTTAAGATTATGTGCTATATGTGACCTTTCCGTAAGCGATAGGTACTTTTTACTGTGAAATTCCTTTTCTAGCTCTAGCAATTGTTCACTCGTAAAAGCCGTTCGTCTTCGTCTTGATTTTACATTACCAGAATCGTTTCCGGTTGAAGAGTTTTTAAAAGATTTGAGGTCAGAAGAAGAATCGTTGAGATCATCACAGTCTATATCGATATCTTTCTCTTCGCAAGAATCTTCGTTGATTTCACAATCAGAGTCTCTTGGCTTCAACGATCTGTTGTTACTGCAACTGTCTGTGAAAAATAACGATAAAAGTTTGATAATACATTTATTTTCAGTTAATAGATTAAAGAATTATTTTACACTTTTCAGTCTTGAAAGAAAACCAATTGTTCAGCATCATTTCATAATTTTACTAAATAATGAATAGTGAAATCTTTTTTGACCTTTTACTCACCAATCGCGACAAATCTGACAACTACGTATTTTAAAATAGGAGTTAAAAAAAAATCTGTAAAAATCGGTACTTGCATGAAACGCCCTTTCTGAAACTCGAATATTCTTACGCATGCATTTTAAAAAAAAATCTACTACATATAGTTCCTATCCAAATTTTACAATTTATGATTATCTCAAAATAATATACCAATATTGAAAAGTCATCTTATAAATGTTAACATATATCAGTTTTAATGTTTTATTTTTTGTTTAAATGTTAAACACATAAATTAATATTTATAAAATAAAGGTGTTGGTTATTTAACCATATGTAATAAATGTATAGTAAAAATCGATTAGATGTCTACCCGTAAGGCTGACCAGATGTAATTGTTCAATTATAAAACGTTTCAGACAAGTGTTGTTAATTTCCTGTGTATTTATATTAGACATGTCTTGTATTTTCTGTAGCTATCGTAGGAGAAACTGACATTAATTCATTTTACATTGCTTTCCGTCTTTTCGACATTTCTAACTGTTTTGGACAAAGCCATGTTACACAACAAATGTCTTTCTCAAATGAAAAAGTCCAACATAAAAATCTGTTGTCACAGACCATTCTTGTAAATGGATCTTAATTTTGTTTTCATTGAATTTACTATTGCCTTTAAGTAAACATATCTGTCGGTTATGTGAAGTAAAGGATTGCCAGTGTCATACAATTCTTGACAGGGACCGACAGTGAACTACTCCGCCCATTAATTTTCTGGTGGTATTCATTTCATTTAATTATGGTATCCAAAAATTAACAGTTCCAGATGGGCTGTGAATTCTTAGGTTTCTTCTCAAAGATTTAGCAATAAAATTATGGTGCATAATTGTTGCAAAACATTAAACTACGATTTTAACTTTTTTGGTGAGAATGTGTATCGAAATGGCGTGAAAATAACATGGTTCTCATATTTTGTTGACCATTTAAGTGCATTTTATTAGACATTTTAATGTATTGAATAGCAGCAAATTAACCATTAGAAATCAGTCCACCCAAGTGATTAAAAGCCACCCACATCTGTTTTGGTGTTATTTGTAGCTACAAGGCAATATGCTGAAGGAGTTGGAAGTCGAAATGCAAGCCGAAATATAAAGTAATTCAAACCAAAATCAAATTTTGCACCCCTTTTAAAAATCCTGATTTATAATTCAGAATTCACTGCTACCAACTAAAGGATTTTCACAATATGTCTTCGTTTTTTTAGTCTTTACTTTTTTTCAAATGAATGATCCATTATTATTTTCACCAGTCTGTATTTTACTAATCGTTTCCGTCGTTGCCATATATAGTATAAATGCTTTTAAGATTGTTTCCCATTTTATAATTATTTCATATAGTTGATCTTTGAACCTCTAGGGCCACAAATGAACGGCTGTTTGTATGTCAGATGTAGAACATAAAGTCAAAATTAAAATATGGTAAACTGATTCAAATTTATACTTCATGTTGAATATCACAGCTGTTTAGTATGTACGAATTTCTTGATTGTTCAAAACGAGGCTCATTTAAGAGTAATTATATCATAAAATGGAATTTTTAATGGAACTGATGTTGCCCTTACGACAATATAACCTGATTGATTTTGAAAAAATTACGCCTAATTTGTACCGTTCATTGACAGTAAAAACGAATTAAAAATAAATCTGAACTACACCATGATACATTCCTTGTGCTCCATGCTGAACATATGCTTTTTGATAGCTCGTAACCTGGAAATGTTTCGAGAAGAATTATCCGCCTGGGAGCATTTGATTGGTATGGTAGGGTGGGTTTGATTGGCAAAATAGATTGACCAATTTGCGACCGTAAAAATCAAAGGCAGACGTAATTGTTGTTTCGAATAAAATATCCTTTAATCTTCAATTGAATACATGTAATAACACCTTGCTTATTTTGTGTGAAAATTGATTTTATATTTAGAAAATAGTTCAGAATATTAAGAAATATTAGATGTATATTTAATGTCGAATTTCAAACTTAGTCATTACAATCCCAGCTTGTTACTCATAAAAAAGACGAAATATGTCGGTTGAAAGTAGATTTAGGGACAGCTTCTTGAACTTGTATCAATTAAGGACAGTCATTAGAAGTTTGAAATACTTATATATTAGGTAGAGAACGCCTATGAAATATAAAATTGTTCAAAATACCAATGAATTTTATTGTATCTGTCGTTAAAATTTCATACTGCTTTCATCAGTACTCAACTCAACGGTTTAGAAGTCGTTAAAATTTCGACCTGAGCAACCACATCATAAAATAAATATTCAAAACACAATATTTTATATAGCACAACTGAGACGCTAAGAAACGTATCAATTATAAAGATGTTCACTGAAAATCAAGAATATCAACTGAGCGAGTTACATAAAGAAATCAATTCCAATTTAAAGTAATTTACTATATTTTTCCGGGACAATTATAAAAAGAAAAAAAAAACTATTTGAAAAAAATAAGGAAAATTCACATAACAGTCTTTAAGACATCAGATTTTTATTATTTTCACAGACTATATTTAGGTTTTTCATCTTAAAATTTGGAGGATGATTTTTCACAAATTGAAATATCCTCAAGTCTATCTGTAAGAAATTGCTCAAAAGAAGAAGGAAAATGTAGACAGTTATTTCAATTTATTTCGATTCAATATGTGTGCGTTTCTTTACTGAAGGCGTTATGACTAAGCTACAACGTATGAGCTCCAGAAGACATATATAATCTTAATCGTTAATCCATCCCCAAGAGATGTCGCTTTGAAAACCGAACTAACATATCAAAGTGTAAATCATTCTCATTACTTTTAAACCAAATTTTGTTAAATTTAGTTTAAACGATAATTTAAAAAGGCTGTTTTGTACTATGGTTAAATATTAAAATAGATTTAAACATGTGTTGCGGATTTATTTATAAGAACCTCTCATGCGAAAATGTTACAAGTTTTTGAAAAAACGAAATGGAGTATTATTTGATGCAACAGTGGTTAGAGACTTAATTTTGAAGTCTTTCAACATGAAAAGTCATCGTATGACAAATCAGTTTCTTTGATCGACAGTTAAATTGTAAAATAATATTTTGATTATTTCATCGTTTTAGTCATACCTAATTGTTACGTTTTAAACCCCGGTTCACATCAACTACATACCACCTCTTTCAAATCACCAAATAGAAATATTCGAAACTTTTTAGTTATGGTTATAACGCTGTACATGGTTTCTTTATGGATGGCGTGGCGGGCCGATTTTAGATAAAGTAATATTAAGAATATATGCAGATTTATATAATTATATAAATATGTTGTGTTTGAACAAAATTAAATACATATCAAAAACAATACACAGATTCAGTTTTAACAAATACAAATATGTATAATTATACCTATCAAATAAGTACTATGTATATAAATACAACTATGTTTGTTATTAAAACATAAATTAAATGACAAAAAAACAAGTTTCAAAATAAATGAAGTTTACATAAAAGCGTCGAATGTTCTTTGAAAAGTGAAGCAACATATTTTTTTCTATGTTTAAGTGTTTATAAAATAAAAATTACTGACTTTGCTTGAAACATTAGTTTTGCTAAGTTCCAAAGTCGACATGTTTCTATATTAAAATCTATAATTTTGTTTAATTTCTGTTGTATTGAAATGGTTGCTATAAAAATATAAACCGCAGTAATTATATTTATTTTGTTTTAAATATCTTGAAAATATCTCAAAAAATGTTTTACTGTATTTCGATGTAAATTATAACTTCCTCTTTCCGTAAAAACAGCATTTTAAGTTCCATAATTCCATCGACTTATTCTTTGAATAAACGTTAAGATAATTCTATGTCCACATTAATTCTAAATAAAGTTTAGGAGCTGTGACAAAAGAAGTGAAAATGACGAGATTCTTTTTTTCAATATCTTCAAGTCTATTCTAAAAGGAGCGAAATCAAATTTTATTTAGTTTATATATTTTTACAAGAAAAATTACCAGTCTGTAGGAAAAATTAAATTTTCAAAAATGGAATGGCTGAAAATATTTTTGAATTTTCTCTGAAGGAGGCGATTGCATAATTTATTTTATCAATAACATTATCATTTATAAATTGTTGCGGGCAAATATGAAGAACCGAAAAGTAAGTTTGCTTGAAACACAAAATAAAATTAAGGATATTTTTGAAAATGACGTTCTTTTACCAAATTTAAAGCAGTGGTATTGGATAGATGCATGATAAACAATCCTAATAATAATTGGGAAAACCATTCAAATATCATTATTATATGTTTAAAAGGTGTATGTTGCAGATGGCATACATACTTTGTTTTTAGGTAAAACTCGTTTCAAATACAGAGGGAAATGACTAAGTAATAAACAAAAAATAAAAATTAAACTACAGTTGTATTTAAACAGTTTAAAAGATAATTTTAACATATTTGATTTAAAAAAAAAAAATCAAAAAATAAAAGGAAAGTTATATGAAAAAGAGTAGAAAATCAAAAGATGTACAGTTACAACTTAAAATTGAAGCTAGGATTATTCCTTGTTAAATATTACTCTAGTACAAAATAGTGAAAAGATACATTTCCATAAAAAAGTAAAATCATACGACCTTAGCCGTTATCGGGTCAAGCAAAATGCAAAAGTGTGAAATTAGAGATTTTTATTTAATCCACATACCCCGGTTGGAATTCATCAAAATTGAATTTATAAGACGCCAACGTGCTGTTTTTGAGTAAACAATATTCAGAATTTTGAAAGAAACAGTTGTCGGATCAAGCTTGTACCTAACGCCCCGTCATTTTGTCTATTTCATCCCTATATGTGCTGACTCTTCGTCAGTTACAATCCATCCTTTGATAAAACGGTTTCTGTGGTTACCCTTATTATTGACCACACAAGTACACCTATACTGATAGTTTTAGTATTTATTCCTAATAAAAGTTAAAACAGTTCTTAAATATAGTTATTAAGCTTTTCACTCTCTAGTATAAAAATATAGAATAATTTAAATGTTATAAGATTATGAGATCTAAAACACGACCAGTGGATAATGTGAGATGAGATTTGGATCTGCCAGTTGAAAGTTTTTTTTTCGTTGGAGTATTTGAATAAAAATATTCTCTTAATAATCTAAAGGAGAATTTAAACGAATATTAACATAAATTCATTATTATTGTCATTGAATGCAATTCTTGTTTTAAACAAAACAAAAGAGGTGACAATCATATGCAATGTTTGTCAGTTGCTTATTTAATTATTCAAAGTATAAAAAGGGTTAAATGAAAAATTTGAATGGCTGCATTCTCTTATTTTTATTAGAAAAGCTATAAAATAAAAACAGTCTTAATCATTATATTAGCATCATTAATAGAAATAGTTCTAGTCTTTTATTTTGAAAACATTTATGACAATGAAAACAATACCTGTGCTTAGCGGCGAACACCTGTCAAATGTATCTCGTGAGTCTGTTCTTAGCTCCGCATGCTCATCAGCTGATAATTTCAATGATGGTGACGAATGCTTCTCGTGTGCTCCTGGAGAAAGTTTTGATTTAAAATTTAATCCGGCAAATGGAGCCATAGGGTTTACGTTTGGAAGACCATACGGGTTAGGAAAATGTCCTAAGGTGAACTGTTGTGCTCTAGCTGCAAGAAGTTGTTCTGTTGTTAAGTTTTGATAATTAAATGTAGAATCTGAAGCCTGACTAGAAGGTGCAAATCCTGTTATTCCTGTTGTTGGGGGCATGAAAAAATATCCAGAATTGCAAAACAAAGGTCCATACCGGGATGCCACTGCAGTTGGTGCCATTAGAGAATCAATTGAAAACGACCCAATGCCTGGGCGTTGCATCGACATGGCGGAATTATGCCTCAAGTCCGATCTTTAAAGTTACTACTGCTTAGTCCCCAGAGTAAACACTCAACTATAATGTGTATGTATCGCAAGGTGTATATGAAAATGTCCAATGTCAATAAGAATATGTTTTGATCTTCCAAGGTATATTAAATTGAAAGGAGTGGGGTGAATAACGTATATATCATTCTTAAATTACTTTGTGTATTATTCCTCAAATTAGGAAACGATTGAATCCGTGACAGAATTTTAATTATATCCTGTAATCCCATTGGTTCCAAACACGCTCATTGTTAAATCCCTCCTCTTTGGCTAGTTGTATGGGTCAATAAAATGTTTTCATTGGTTCACATTCAACATTCAGAATTAAAGTTGGTCCTCCGATGAAATCAAGTGAAGGTAATTAAGATAAATGATGGCTTGAACAACTTTCCATAGAAAACTATTTTATGAGACAAGATTAATAATGAATACTGAAATTGAGCAACCAAAAGGTGGCCACCTTTGATCGGTTCAAGTGCCTGCAGAAAATGTGAAACGATTAAATGTATTTATCAGGTAGAGTTAAAAACAAAGACAAATAAAATTTAACGATAAAATTGCCGTTAACCATATTTGGTCGTATACTTTTCAGTTGATCAGATTATGATAAAATGTGTTGGAACAAGCGCTTTTTCCAATTAAAAAACACGATACAGCTACACCAAATATTTTATTATCTTGTCTCTGAATGTACAATAAACAATATATGTATACTAAAACCTGACTTAACTTATGCGAAATTATGCGAAATAAATAATTTGAAACAGTTTATATCGATAAAAAAAAATCATTAGTTTGATCCTTAATCGAGTTATTAAAGTGTATACGTGTCAGAATGTATTTTTCTGTTGTAAAGATTAAAAAAAATATTTGATTTGCTACTCAATTGATAATTTTTGTTAATTCATAAAAAAACAGAATAATAAACAAAATACTTAATAAGTTTTAAATGGATATACAATTTGCATGTTATTTATGGAAAAAAATTACATATTTTGAAAGCCATAATTATGAATAAAATCCTTAAAAGCGCATTGGAATAAAAATACTTTTTTCCTGCATGGAATATCAATTTCCAAATTACGTGAATATGTATACCTAAAACTATAGATTTCACGGTTTTAGTAAATCATTTTTAAAATTAAAATAATATCTACCTTTAAGTATAAAACAAATAAAAATAACATTAAATTCTTTCAAGTTTTCGAATGAAATATTAACAATGCTACTTGTATTATTTAGATATTTATTCCGATAATGAAGCACAGATTAGCATTTACAATATGTTATGTTTGAAAAAGGAAAAAAAAATAAAGCTATATTATAAAACTTCTTGATAAGAGAATAGAAAGATAGCATACACAAGTAATGTGTAGAAATATAAAAAAAAGCCAAATGATGCTAGAGCAGAACCATTAAAACAAAATAACAAAACAGCACACAATTTATCATAAACAAATACGAAAAGACAGGCTAAGAACAGACTACAATAAAGACACAAAAGTTTAGGTACTACAAACTCCATTAATAAAAGAAAGTAAACTGAATGCAAAATAAAGAGTGTTTGATCAGAAATATATTTGTTTTCGTGAATATCTTCTTATCCATACAGAAAAGAAGAAAAAAAAAAAAATGTTTTAGTAACAGATGGTTTAAACGCTTACTCGTGACATTTTGCGTGTTTAAAAAAAAAATAAATAAAAAATACTACTTTTCTTAAGTAACTTGAACGATTCTATAATTCTGTTTTGAAATTAATTAAGTAATATTAATTGAACCGCATCACCTATGATCGATGTCAGTAGTTTGGAAAATCTGTAAAGAACTCAGTTGGTTGGATTACTTTTAAAAAAAATGTGTGAATATAATTGTTTTTGATAAATCATAACACGAGTCTCATAAAGAAAAGCTTGACGGGTGCAACGTGTTTAACATGAACTGTTGCATCTTTAATTGAATTTAAATAAATACAAAATATAATTCATCTGTTGTCATATGTATTTGTATTTTTTTTTGTGTGGCATTTATCTTCTCCTTTCTGATTAAAGTTTTTTATGCGCCCCTCAAAACGGGTCGTGTTATTGTATGCCAATGTCCGCCCCATCCGTCCGTACACACATCGTACGATAACTCAAATTCGCTTTAACCAATTCTCATATAACTTACACATCATTAAAATTGACGGAACAAAGCTCCCTTTTAATATTTTAATCGAGCCTGTGACATTTATGTCGCGAAAGTGAGACATAGCGATCCTAGATTCCATCGTCGGCGTCAACATTTAGGTTCAGTCTGCGGTTACAGTTTTTTTAGACATCAATGACTTTGTCAAACCTTCATGGAATATTAGGAAATTGGACAGAAGCTTGTTTATGAACAAAATACAGTATCCAGACCAAAATTTTGGAAATATTTATTTTCATTTTTCCGTGATAAATGTCTTTCTATGTTGTGATGTTACACTATTGTTTCAGAAAAAGGGTGAAGGTTTGGTACCATTAAAACGTTTAAACCCGCTGCATTTGTTTGCACCTGTCCTAAGTCAGGAATCTGATGTTCAGTAGTTGTCGTTTGTTGATGTGGTTCATAAGTGTTTCTCGTTTCTCGTTTTTTATATAGATTAGACCGTTGGTTTTCCCGTTTGAATGGTTTTACACTAGTAATTTTTTGGGACCCTTTATAGCTTACTGTTCGGTGTGAGCCAAGGCTCCGTGTTGAAGACCGTACTGTGACCTATAATGGTTTACTTTTATAAATTTTGACTTGGATGGAGAGTTGTCTCATTGGCACTCATACCACATCTTCTTATATCTATTAGTTTTTTTTACAGTTATTAAGATTTAGTCTGAGGTTAGCGTATAACAGTCAACAATAACTTGTCAAACCATTGAATTTTAGGAAATTTGAACAGAAGCTTAGTTATGACCAAAATACAGTATTCAGAGCAAAATTTTGAAAAGATTTATTTTCATTTTTCTGTATTTTACTGATAAATAGACTTAGTTTTTTTTACATTTAACAAGTAGATACAGTCTGGGGTTACTGTTTGTTACACATCAATTCCTTTGTCAAACCTTTATAGAATTTTATGAGACTTTTGCAGAAGCTTTTTTATTATTAAGATGTAATGTTTGAAGCAAACTTTTGAAAATATATTTTTTCATTTTCAGTATTTTTCTGATAGATGGACTTAGTTTTTTACAGTTAACATTTACAGACAGTCTGGGATTAATCTTTTTTTTTTACATGATAAATTATTTGTAAACCTTCATGGATTGGTATGAAACTTGGACAGAAGCTAATCTCAAGACCATGAGAAAGCATCTAAAGAAAAAGTATGATTTTTTTTTTAAATTCTGTACTTCACATAGGTACTTGGGGACAGGACAATTTTATCTTAGCCTCCCCTTTTATCCAAAATCCGTTATTTTTTTGTTTTCTATTAATGTCAATTATTTTCGCGTTTTTCTGTATTATATGAAGATAAATATACTACAAATAAATTGTATTTGCTATTTACTTTCAATTCCAAATTTACTATCCACAGCGGTCACTGAAAAATTATATAGAGAGAAGGTATCTCACTTCGTACCTTATCACATATTTTCCTACGGGAATTCTAGGACGAATCCCAAGTCTAATTCATAAAATATTTAATTTCCTTCGGATCAGTGGGCATGGCTCGTTTCCGCTATCATTTCTCTTTTTAAACAGTTGGCACTTTTTAATGAAATTCGACGTCTGTCGTCAGAACGGATAAATTTTGCTCGTCGTGTCGTCGTATTTTGATTCTTAAATGACGGAAGTATCATAGAGTGTATGGGCGACAACTCTAATTTTGCGCCAAATCCGGTTCCCTTAAACATATGTTCCGAATGTTATTGTACAGCACAATAAGTACGAGAGTTCATGATAACAGTTTAAAGTATAAATAAACTGTAAATCTGCTCGAGTTTATTAATACTTTAAACTTTACGCGGAACCCCTTACGAATTCTTTATTTATGGATTTGTTACTAGTATTTCAGAGTTACGGAACTTTAACTGTTACATTTTAGGCAATTTTTCACAAATAGCACACTAACTCCAGTATTCCTGGATTGATTTTCTTCAAACTTTACATTATTGTTGGATTGATAAAGGAAGCCACCTTTTAATTTATCAAATTTTCCGGTTTGTCGCTCCAGAGTTAGGGTACTTTACTAGTGAGAATTTACTATATTTTTTACATATTAATGATTTACATAATCGTCGGAATCGGTGAACATATGATTTTATGCCATTGAAATATTCCATTTTATTCTTGTAACAATTTCAATATGCACAATAGGGGCGTATCATGCGCTCGTGGCGCAGCTGTTTATTGAAATATCTTCTTATCTTCCTACTCACAACAGTTTCATGCAACGCCATACCCATAACTATGTATATACAACTACTATTATAAACGTAACAAATATGTTAATAAAAAATGAAGCAGATTAAGAATGTTACTATTCTTTGTTGTTGGTAAGAATCAGAGTGGTCTCCTTTCTAAAACAGAATACTTCAAAGTATATTAGAAAATGAAAATACGTTTGTATAGGATAGAAAAATAAATTGATACTATTACATAAAAATAAGGCGATCTGGAATGATTGCAAATAAAATAATTATCTAACAAAAGACCTAAGAACAAGGATGAAAACAACTACAGCTCACTGTACGGCCTTCGATAATATGCACAGTGTTCAAATTATAAGTTTGCCACTTTAATTTATAAAGAAGTAAGGGTTAGTTTGCAATAATGGTTGTATAACTCCTTAATGAAAACAAATGTACCAACAGTTGATATTGGCTAATTATTCGCATTTTGTCTTGATTAACGGTACATAAAATACAAAGCAAACCTCGCTGAGCCCCTCATTTACATTTGTAAATCAAACATTAAAATAATTTATACCAATAATAATGAAATTGATTAAAAAAATATATTATGTAACAGATTTGTGTTACATCTTTACATTTATATACAAGAGACTGACATGATGTACAAATATATGCATGATTTAATTTACAGTTGAACA